AATACAGAGGAGAATTTATGCCCGTGAATGTTGTACTTTCATACATTTTGCGTTTGTGCTTGTGTTGTTGGTGTCGAAGTGGAAGGTTGTTTTGGATCTAACCACTCCTTTTTTCATTTAGGAGCTCACCATAGGTCTCGCAAATAAGCAATTCTGCTTGTTTCGGCAGTTTCGATGCTTCATCGTTCGTTTTCTGATTTCTTTCGTTGCGGGAAGCGCATCGATCTTCGTTTTGTTGGGACTGTCCTCGTCGAGAGCGTTTTGCAAATTTCGGCAGCATCCTCTACTGATAAAGTGCTCATTAAATCAAGAAATCATGTATTTCCATCATTAAGTACCGCTATGGCTGCATACGTGGCAATAACGACTAAGTTCGACTCTGTCGAGAGAATTTTTTCAAACTATCTTCCACAATGTTGAGTGAAAACTCTCACTAGCATTTTGGCTGTGATAAACGATGCATATAAGTAACAAGTTATTCTCAGACAGGACTTCGAAGATCTGTTTTATTGCACTTTTCTTTATTTCATTCTTCTAGTATTATTTTTCTCTGTTTCATTTCCTGTCAATTGCATGCCACGACGACCTTCAGATTGCCTCCGCATCGATTCACATTTTCTGCTCTCTTGAACTGAATTTTTCGAATTTTTCAACTCGGTAAATAGGAAAATATTTAAAAAAATTCATACTATCCGAAAATATAGAAAAATGAAAATCGATCTTTTTCGAAATTTCAAATTTCCTTTCAATCCTCCTTAAACTCAACGAAGATGACGCATTTTTTAAACGAATCGTGACGGACGTTGGAAATGGATTATCTACAACAATGTGGTGCGCAAAACGGTCCTGGGAAAAGCGTTCAGAAAGACCATTGACTGCTCCAAAGTCTGGGCTTCATTTGCAGAAAGTCACGTTGTATATTTTGTAGGACTGGAAAAGTGTCGTGTATTATAAGCTCTTTCCATAGAACGTACAGTTTAATTCGAAAAAATACTGTGCGCATTTGGACAAACTAAACGAAGCTATTGCAGAAAAAAACGCCTAGAAATGATGAATAGAGAAAACGTTTTGTTCCATCAGAACAACGCCAGGCCTCATACTTCTTTTGATCACCCGGGAAAAAGTTGCAACTCGGCTATCTAGCGTATCCAATATATTCATCAGACATAGCTCCTTCGGATTACTATTTCTTCCGATTCCTGCAGAACTTCCTTAATGATAAGGCGTTTACTTGTTTGGAGGGCTACAAAAGCCACCGTCAGCAGTTCTTCGTTGAGAAAAACGTTCTGTGCAAGATAAATTATACAGCTGCTCGGAAGGTGGTATAATAACGGTCATTATCGATTGAAATTGTATTTAATTATGAATAAATTTGCTCCTACTTTGAGCTAAAAATACGACGTTACCTTCCTTTCAACCCAATACTTACAGTATCTGCCAAGGAGTAACCATTTTACTTGTATCAAGTAAATGTTACTCGAACGGCAGTAATGTATTAATGCAATCGTTTCTTCAGTAACGTATATTCGTGTGCGTGTCCATCGGTACGTACGATACGTTAACAATACGTGTCTAACACGGACAATCCCAGGTCAAAAGCGTCACACGTCGAAGCGCGAAAAATGATCGTTTCTTTACGAATTGTTGAAAACATTGCGTAAGTTTGGTTGCTACTTTCTTGCTTATAGCGTCAAAGATATGTGTCATTTATAAACACAGATTTAACACACAGATTTGTGTCGAGCCTCTTCCCCGTGTGTTGCGTTACCTTTCTAACGATATTGTCACGGGCTACCTTAAATTTCTCAGACAGGGATCCGTTTATCCTCGAATAAAATGACAAAGGATCGCGTGTGTACGAGCGCGAGTGAGAGTCTCCTAACGATTCATCGTTCGGGAGGCACTGCTGTGTGTAAATAATATTTAACAACGCGACGTTTTTGCGGCGTGTAACAGCAAGAAGCCGCCGATAAATTTCATTTTTCCGCCGTATCGTACCGCGAGACACGAGTTTAACTTTTACGCCTCTCTCTTTCTCCCTCACGCGGAATACACATGTTACAGCTCTAAACGTCACGAGTTCCTATGCGACGAATGCTAATAAGAGACGCTGGAAATCAGTTATTACTTTACGACACTCCACCGTCGCTGTCCCTGAGATTAACCCGAGTGTGGCGACTCAATTTTCAACGGTGTGCGATCGGCGACGACGACAACGACGACACGCCATTATTACGTGCGTCAACAGGGGCAATTATACGATATAAATCTTCTCAAAATGATACATATACGACGTGCCGCATGAATAATCATTGATTCGCCCGTACGATTTCCACGAGCGATTATCTGCTGGATTAGCGATTCCTCCGAGACGAATTTCAGACGGGAAGTATTGCGATTCCCGAGAAATCGTGCGCGGCCCATACCGGTGATTATATTTGTTTTAGATATTAATACGCCTCGCGCGGTCTATCGATAATTCATTCCCGGCGTAATCGCACGGTATGCATCCTCGGTCTTTAACATATGACGCTGCAGAAAGGAGAAAGATAGAGCGGAAAAGAGGAGGAAGGAGTGGCGGGAGGGAGGGAGAGGAAACGGGGCGGGAGATGGAGAGGGAAAGGGCGAACGGTGGGGCGGGAGAGAAAGGAGAGACCCGTGTAAACGATAAATCACGATAAATACTTTTGCCCGAGCCATTATAAAAGGCAGCGGCAAGGAGGGAGGAATCAGCGCGATCGGCGAAGAGGAGGCCAGGCATGGAGGTACACAAAAGGGTGCAGCAGCGGGTACGGCCCGATATGCAGTTCTTCCCTGAGGCCACTCTTGGGTGCATCCTCTTCTGCGGCCGCGCATTACGATCGCTTAAGTCTCGGCTCGACTATCGAGTGATCCATCGCCTACGAATTCGACGAAGCCTCCCGCCTACCCTCGGGACATCCTCAACTAATGAGCGTGTCTCGATCGTGAACGACCGGTCTTCTCTCTCTCCCGCTATCTTCGTCCCCGCCTCGTCCTCGTCCCGCTCCCTCCCGCCGTACGTTCGTCTTTCTCTCTCTCTCTCTAAACACATACACACACGCGCGCACAGGTACATATGCACACACGCATACATGCACACACACACGCTCTCTCTCTTTCTCTTTCTGCCGCGAATTCTTTTTCTCTTCACTTTCAGGTGCGCCCAGCGTTCCTTCTTAAAAAGGATTCCAATTAAGAGAGCCCGGAATGAGTTCGTGCGTCCTATTCATGGGCAGCGTGTTCGCCGCTCGAGTTATAACGGGGACGACAGGTGGACACACGATGAAATCCTTAGGTAAGATCCAGAGAGAGAGAGAGAGAGAGAGAAATTCGGCGACAGGATCGTTGTCGGCTAAATTTCGACGCCAAGACAGGCTACGTCAGATAACGAGAGAGACCTTGCCGAGAGGCGTCGAAGGAGGGCCGCGATTGTTGACGGATGTCGACGCGATGTAGCACGGCTGGGTTTATTGTGCGTACGCACGCGGTGAAGAATCGCCCACTGCGACCGACCGAATGACATTACGTATTTCCATCATCGAGGCACGCCGTCGAGATGCAAATTCCGCGAATTTTACTCGTAGCGACGAACATCCGGTGACTCCACGGCGAACGGTGTCTATCGGTTAGATGGGGGGGNGGGGGGGGGGGGGGAAGTGTGGTAATTTCAGTAGATTCTTGAGAAACTGTTTGTGCTCACGTATGCCACCGATGTGTGGTTAGCGCGTGGAGTGAGGCGATGGGAGATAGGGAGGAAGAGAGACGGGAGAGCGGATAGGCAGGAGATACCGAACCCCGCGGGGGGCTCATAATTGCCGACCCTGAAGATCGGTCGACCCCATGGGGCCCTCCTCTGTTTGTTTTATTCCCTAGTTATACAAACGCAAGATCTACGACCGATATATGATAATCGTCCTTCTAGTTCTTCCAGTTTGCCTTCCTCTCCTCTCTCTCTCTCTCTCTCCTCATCTCCTCTTTTCTCAACTCCTTCTCGCGCTCCCTTATCTCGGCTTCCTCCTTTTTGCCTTTTATTGTGTAAACTATATGAATGTGGGGTGCCTTATGGACACTGATAGACAGGGACACGTCCAAACTAATTCTAGCTAGTATCTACTTCCACCGACCGGCGGTGCCGTGGAAGCTTTCGCCACGTCTCATCATTTACGGCGCGCACTTATTCAAATTCTACGCCGGTCGAAGTGATTGATACTCTTCGTTATGAGCGGCTACCTCACGCTCTCGCGTTCGTCAGTTCGAGAGAGCGCGGGCCGTAAAATATTATCCCGAACATTTAATATGTAAATATAGCGGGCGTCGCTATTACCGCGCACGGTTTTCAACCGGAGGCGCGGTGTCAACCGCACACGTTGATAAGGATATCGATAGGCGGCGGAAAAGAGTCGCTTGGGGGAAGAGAGAACAGTGTGTCGAACTGACGCGGAACCTCGAGTGAAAATTTCAATATTCCACATCGATTTCACAAAGGTCGTGCTTGAAGAATCAACGAGGGATATAGAAGTGCAACATTACACAAGCTATTCTCCTACTCCGATATTGTGCACACACAGAAATGGTTGACTATCAAATAATTATTATTATTAAGTGTCCTTCTTTGTGTCTCAATAAATAAGGTTTTTGGTGTGTAAACGTTTGCTATATTAATGCAGATGATTTTAATGTTATCCCCAGTCAGAATAGTGTAATTAACATACCGCACCACGCGATAGATATTCATTATTCCAAAGGCGTTGCTTACGATGCTGCAGTCTACTTTACAAAACGCTAATATACAAACTTGATTTCAGCCCTTTATGCAGCGATACGACGACTTTCAGAGAAAAACAAGGCCTTATCGCCACGACAACACGACACATAACCGGTATAATCATATTTCAAAAAGATAACACCTCGAACGTAGCAACTTGTCCCAAATACATGTATTCCGTCTTAACGAGGAGGAGACGAGGTAAAACTATTAATTATCGAAGATTATATAAATAAGGCGCGATACTTTGCGGAGGTACACGCTGAAATAATATATGTGCATATGTAACGTAATATAAGTCGAGCGTGATTTGCGTATTTATAGCATGCTTTCTCAATTTCTTTCCCATCTAGCGACAAATCACTTACCTCACAGTCGATTTTCTTAAACTCCGGGTCGTCTTCGTCCACCTCGAAGTACAGCTCCGTCGATGTAACTGATATGATACCGGGCGCCACGATACCGGGTGCGATCAATTTGCCTTTCGTGCTGATGTTCACCGGACCTGATGATGAAAGAGAAAAATACGGTCAGACCGGCGCGTGCAAGCAATAATAACATGGCAAAGTGGTCGGTAATATCGAATCAAAGACATGTGGTACGATGTGCAGATTGAAAACGAAGGGGCAAAGTTAAGTCGATAAACATGATAAGCGTCGATAACATAGAGACGATCCTCGAAATATTATGTCACCCAAACACTGACATAATCGCGTTATTCTTTTTGTATTTCTTGTACATATAGATTTTGCGTAAATCTAAGCGCGATATAAATATGAATGCGATGAATGTGAGTTATAAATTTGCTTCACCATATTTAATCAGCAAATCTAATCAATATATGCACAAATTTTTGCACAAACTTTTTTTCTCTTTTTAGGCCTCTAAATTTTAATTGAAGAAGGTGTAAAAGTATTCTTTACAATTCCGTTGATCGGAGCATTGACATTCGATACGTATGTAAATACGTAAATTAATTAAATGCTTCCACTACCAAAAATCAAGATTTATCCATCAGTGGAAAGCAATTTTACAAAAGTGTACAATAATGTTCGTTATTACCGATGCCACCTTATACTATCTATCGGGCGGTTGTTGAATTCCATCGCGATAGAACGCGTTTGGGAATCAATAAAATCATCGATAGATTTTCGAACACTTCCTATTATTTTAAAAGCATAATAAATAAATAATAAATAATAAATGTATCAACTAAGTGATGTCGCGACGGTGAAAAGGGTGAAAATTTTAAGGGACAAAGTCTAGTATTAAAAATGGCGTTTTGTGTTTCTTTCGCCATGTGAGTATTGTCGCGGAATAGTTTTTTTTCCAAATCTTCTGGAAATCTCTGACATCGATTTTGAAAATTGCACGACTCACTGCGCCTTCGCTGAGCCGAACAAATCATTTTTGTAGCTTCAGCAGCGTTTTTGCAGTTGAAATGTAAAAAGAATGCAGTATCGAATATGCACTTTATTAATAGCAATACTGTTCACTACTATTTTCTGAGGTCATATCTTGCAATATCACATGATATTTTATAAAAATGACAGCTCTTTAAAGCCACAGAGTGTAAAAACACTTAGATTTAAAATCCTTATCAGAAATGAATAAAATTAAAAGCATCTCATTAATAAAAGCACCTGATATAAGTCGCAGGATTTCCGTATCGGATACATTTTTACGCTGACCGACGGCTGAAAGTGTGAATTAACAAATTTCCAATCGCTTTCGTTACATATTAATTAATTGATCTCTGGGTGCAACTTTCACCGCTCGCAAGAGCAGCCAGCGCGACGTGAAATTCGCGGAGAGAAGTCAGGTATTTCGCCGGCGAGGTTCTCAAGCACGGCGTCCCCTTGAACCGCGGGTCTCTCGTAACAACGAGCAACAATTGACGAGCGCGACATTAAAATAACAAATTAGTCGGGATTGCGGTGCAAAAGTGGTGAAAGAAAAACCGGTTCGCGTGATGTGCCATTAAAGTGTCGCGTCTCGTTTATCGGAAAGGCAACACCGACCGACCTGCCAGATCGTTGTCGAGGTCCCTGTCGTCGGACAGCAATTCACTGTCATCCAGAAGATCCGCCGACTGCAATTGCTGTTGGTGTGCACGCGAGGCCGCGAGATGCGCGTGAAACTCCTGACGCGCTTGAAGTATCGCATCCTCGGGTGCGCCGTGTTCCAGGGCCGCCTTGAGAGTAGCCTCGGGGTGGCTCGAGCCTAGAGGATTGTGCACGAAGCGCTTGCGTCTACGTGCATCGTCCTCCCAAGCATCCAGCTTCCAGTATTCGGCCAATCTGCGAACAGCGAGAGCGATCGCGCGGAGCGTGTAGAGAAAGCGGTTGAATTACTTTCACTCTCGTTACATTCTTTTTATTCGTTCGCGCGCGACCCAACCGAGACGCGAGCTAACGTGTCGCGTTTGCATTTACTTTGCGGCCATTGGATCCATGTATCCCCAGGCGCCATGCTTGTTGGACAGGATGTTCCGGACCTTCTCCAGCAGTCTGCTGGCAATCACGTTGTCGCGTCTTCGTGCGGCGGTGATCAGATGGTCGCACATACGTTCCTCCTCCCGCCGGTCCAGCAACGTCTGCGCGCACTGAGACTGAATAACACGAGGGTAGTTATCGCTGTGCGAGATTTTTTCCCTCCCGTTTCTTTTTCTACGCGGCTCCTCTAATAGCGTCAATTAATGCCTCGAAAGAAAATCGCCCCGTCTCTCTCTCGAGGATTCTCCGACCGGCGCAAAAACTGGTCGTGTATGTTTACAGAGTAATTAAATAGCAAGGAGAAGCGCGAGCGATACCTCAAAGTCAGCATGCTTCAGCACGTCGTCCGCTCTCATCCGGTTCAAAATGAACTCCGCTTCGTTTGCGACTCGCACTATGTGATCCTTCATCGCGTGAGATAGCAACCTGCGTGTAACGAGAGGATACGATTTTCATGTGGGGGAAACGAGAACGGGTTCGATTTCGTTTTGCTGCGCTGTGCGCCCGCGCGCGCGTCACAGCGCGTAATAAACGTCTTACCTTCCCTCGTTAATGAGCTCGATGAAAGCGAGACCCGCGTGCTTCTGCAGGGAGTTTTGCCATTCCTGGGAGCAGAGGAGCATAACCAGCTCCACGACGGAGTTGCTGTTCTTGAACGTCGTCAAACCTGGCGAATTACGAAACGGGGAGGGAGGGGGTACTGTTAAGCGAATATAAAGGATAAATGCGCGAGTAACAATGAACGGGACGGAAGAGACGGCAGAAATGAAAATGGACGGGTGTCATGATTTACAAAAGTCGGGTGCGTTGTTAAAAATCAAGCGCGTCGATACGTCGCGAGACCATCAGCCGCCACGTTCCTTGAATTTAAAATCTGCGAGAACCGAACTCTACACGCATGTTGAATACTAATGATGAGCGATTACTCGGAATACGCTTGCTATCTTCCTAAAGCGAAATCATAAAATGACTAATTTGAATATTCGGTGTGAGATGGTGCAGAGAAGAAGCGATCTCAGAAGACTGGGAGGAAGAGAAAGAGAGAGAGAGAGAGAGAGAGAGGAAGAAAGACGGCCGGAGCATAAAAGTAACGATGGTCTCACCGTATGCGTGTGTGTGTGTGTGTCGCGAGTGTGTGTATTTTCGATTTTTGTTTATCGCGGGAGCATATCTAAATGTACGATTTTAAATATTACACGGGCAATAGTCAAATTCTTATCTTTACGATTTTACCTTTTTATCTTTTAACGACGGCATAATAATTATCCGGACTTTAGTGTTATTTTTTAATAACAGATCGCCCGGGACACGTTTATGTCGACGCGAAAATATTACACTTCTGCACGGGGACAGCCGGGGAATTTCAGTTTCTCGATGTCCTTTATGATCCTTTTCGACCTGTGAACTGTGATATATCTTGACGTCGCTACGAAAAAGCGTGGACCGCGCCCGGACTGTTGCCCGTGCAATAAAATTCAAGGTGAAATATGTCCTTTTCATTTAATCGGCCTCGGACATTCTAAATCACAGTGTACATTCATAAAACTCTGAGAACACGAAAGCCGTGAAATAACATCCTGTTACATCCAATTTTCAGGCTCGCAACGCGACAATGTCACTGTTTGCGAACTTTACCGAACAACGGTCGTGCGGTTTAATTTGAAAATAATAGAAAATCCGGACGGCATTCGGCCCCGCTTTGCTCGGACGAGAGAAACATTCCGCTTGCCGCGGAACAAAACCATGCACGCGTAAAACAGACACAGAGAGAGAAGTGACTGTACGTTCGACATACCCTTGCAGCTCGTACCTTTTCCTTCCATTAATAATTCTTGACCGTGAGAGCCAACGAGTGTTTTCGATAGAAAGGGAGCAAAGTCCACCATTATTTCCCGTAGAAGAGGACAAACCGAACCCAAAGCCATTTCCAGCTTTTGCGTGAGAGAGGCTTCGCGCGAGGGCGTCGGTACCGGTAAATGATCGACCAGACCTTTGATCGGCAATTCGTCGGCCCTGGGCGATGCAGCCGTCACCACCAGCCGATCGGGCACTCGCACCACCGAAATCTCCGCGGACGGTTTCTCCCCGCGTTCCGCGTTACCGAGCATCTCCTGCTCCAGAACATTGCCTTCGCTGTCTTGCATGTCGCCTGTTATGAAAAATACATCTCGCCTTACATCAAGCATTCCACACCGCGGGGAACCCGAGACCGAAAACCGCGTGGAAACCGGTATTTTGCTCGGACCGGAACCGTAAACCGCACCGAAACTTTAAAAGTCCACAGAACCGGAACCGAAATCGCATCCGTTTTTCTTTTTCCGGTTTCCGGTTCTTTCCGGCTTATTTCGGCTGTTTATTCTGTGATTTTAAGTGATCGTCTTTCTCATTTCATAATAAAATTCTAGTTCTCACGAAAAAGCAGAACATCGATTAGTTATCGCGGCAAATAGAAAATAAACTTCGAGCATGCGACATTGAACAGAAGAGGATTAATATGAGTGGTATATTACAATTTTGGGATGAATGGAAAGACAATCATCCTGAATTGTACAAATTACTCTAACGGAACGTGTATATTCTGAGAAAGTTCGGAGAATATCGAGATATTCCTCGAATATTCTCAGAATCTACATAATTTACATGTTCCGTTAGGAAGAAGTTATAAATAACGAGGATAATATTGTATATCTAAAAAGTTAAGAACAGAAGATGGAAATAATGAAGAAATGTCATCTACATCGGGGAAGTGGTATTATTATTTTTTATAATATATTATTGTATACGTTTTATGTAGGTTGAGGCAAAAGTATGGAAACCCTGAAATATTTCGAGAACGGCGCACTTTAGCAAAAAAATGGTCGAGACAAGGTTTTAGGATTTTGAGGGCAGAATTCAATAGTAACCTTTACTTTGACCTTGAGGTTTTAAAGGTTTTTTGACGGTCAACTTGTTTTTTTCTTTTAATGAAATCCCTTTGATTTTTTTGTATATTATTATAGCCTTTTTTGAGACCTTTCAAAACACTATAAGAAAGCATTTTTTCATTGAGTACTGTCCGAGTTATAAGGCTTGAAAGTTGCTATATAATATCTGTATTCTAAACAAGCACATTCATAGGCCGGTATTTAGAATCAGACCTTATATTTAAGGTCGTTTTAAGTTCATCTGAAGATGCTTTGTGGCCAATAAAACAATCCGTACAGTATCTGAAGATGAACTTGAGATGATTTTAAATATGAGATTTGATTATAAATACCACCCACACATAGATATTTATAAGTAAGGGCATATCAGAAAAGTTACTGGGTCTCACAGACCCAGCGTGCTAAACTGATCAGTAAAAAATAAATGTACCGATGAAGGATTAATGAGTGTCTTACCACGTGAATGAGCGATATTGTGGATATTACGCGGATCTTCTCTCGGATTCGTAATTGGCATCGTGTCGCCATCCTCGTTAAGGTTTACGTCTGTCCAGGCTTCCTCGGACGAATTGTGCTTATTTTCGTTATCGGTGGTAACTTCGGAGGGACTCGGGTCCGCGGTAATATTGCTTCGGTGTACGGTCTCCTCGCTGGAGTCGTTGCTCTGGGAGAGAGAAAGATCAAAGAAAGAGGAAGTGATAAAATACACTCGAGTTCTGCAATACATATATGTGTTTAGATTAAACCAACCGCGAAATAATATTACTGTTAACATTAGTCGTGACATAATTGATATTTTCCGTTAAGCATGTTGTTACAATTTTGTCGGTTCAACGAGAACCTCCTGGACGTTCGTTGACGGTTACGTAAAACTATTTGGATACATTTTCAGGCCTAGGAATACTAAGTTGCTACAGTATTTTGAATTGTCTGATATACAGGGTGATCGTTGGGATTGTCTAAAGTAAATAGTTACTATTTCGCAACAAATTGATCGAGGCTGAATAAAATGAGCAAAACGTCATTTTGTAGAAAAGCTTTGTCAAATTTTATTACCATAAATATGAAACAAGTATATAATATTTTGATCATTTAAATACACATTATTAAAAAAGGGGTAAAAATATGCTTGCGCGCATGAATTATCAGTATAAGTTTTTGAAATGTTCCTCGGAATCGGCACAGAATTACAATCATTTTCGAAAACTTTTAAATACATCGTCCAACATGACTGTAGGGATGCTGCGAATGAATTTTCGAATGCTACATGGAAAAAATTCCGGTTGCATTAGCTAGAAAGGGAACAATTAGATGTGTTTTGGTCGAAGGAAACATCATTTCTGGTTTTTATGGCTCACATGTTCTTATGATCAGAAATTCTGTTTCCTTCAACCAAAATGCACCTGGTTGTTCCCTTTCTAGTTAATACAATTAAACTCTATTTTTGTGTATCTATCAGCTCTTTAGTGTTTTGAGGCTACATAACATTTGTCTTTGATATTCTTAGAAGAAAAAAATCACACGATTCAAGTTGGGTGAATAAGAAGGCCATTCCAAATTTCTTTGAGCGAATTTCGAATATCCTAATCCAATCACTCTGCTGCTATATATTACGTTGGTGCAAATGAAATGACCGTTTATAAATATAAAGTTGAAACTTGTATTTTTCAAATTTAAAACTACATAACTAATCAAAATAGCTTCCACCTACTTCAATACTTCTGCCAACGTGATCCAAATGCATCAATGCACTTTCTAAAAAAATCTAGAGAGCGTGAATCGATAGACTCCTTAAATACATTTTTCACACTTTTTTTTTCATTGAAATTTTTGCCCACCAAAAACGCATCCGGATGCTTGAAAAGATGACAATCTGTTGGTGAGATGTCTAGAGAATAGAGAGGGTGAAGGAGAACTTCAATGTTCACTCGGCGAGTTTTTGAACGGTTTGTTTTGCAATCTGTGGTCTAGCGTTATCGTGTAACAGCAACATGCCGTGTCTGTTGTCTAATACTGGCTGTTGAGCGCACAGTTTTTGGTGCATGCTGGTAATTTCCTGACAGTACTTATCAGAATTTATAACCTCACCTTGTTTGGTAAATGAATAGTGAACGATATCTTTGCTAGACCACCATACAGACACCATCATTTTCTTGGGGTGAAGATTCGATTTTAGAATGTATTTCGGAGCCTCATTTGTATCTAACCACTGCGCAGAACGTCGGTGGTTGTCGTACAAAATCCATTTTTCATCACAAGTCACAATCCTGTGTAAAATTCCATCTGTATTCTGTCGCAACCGCAAAGAAATGCAAATTTCCAAACGTATCAATTTGTCTCTCTCTATAATTTCATTTATCCAACTTTTTCACTTTTCCCCTTTTCCCTTTTTTTTGTTTAAATATCGGACGACAGTTGAATGATTAACTTCGAATCTTTTGACTATCTTTCAGACTGTTAACCTTGGATCTGTTTCAACCATCCCCTTCAAAACAACGTCATCAATGACGGAAGGTGCGTGTCCGCGAGACAAATTGTCGAGGTTTGTGTCCCCAGAACGAAATTTTTCAAATCAACGCCTCGTCGTTCTTTCACTTACAGTACCTTTACCAAATGCAGTATGAATGTTACGCGTTGCCTCGGCTGCAGTATGACCAAGTTTGAACTCGTATAAGTAAATTATACGAATTTCTCTATTTTCCATCACGGCGTTAATGCAAACTACTGACTAACAGTACAATATAGAAATAAGGTTATGTGCGTTAAATCACATGTGGATCATGTACTTTTCACACAGTATATATACACCGTCCTCTGTATGAAAGAAAAGTAATCTATAGGGGTGAGAAATTCAAAACACTGAAAATGGCCATTTCATTTGCACCAACCAAATACTTTATATATCGATTTAAAAACATTACGCGTACGATGTGGGATCACATTATCTTGCATAAAATGAAATTTCTTTACTAATCTTCCTTTCTTTGCATGAGAAAAGAATTTAATCTCTAACAATTCTTTATAACTTTCATTCGTAACGGTTCCTTCAAAAAATTGCAGTTTCCTGCAAAAATTGCACCCCTGCTTAAAACGATCTATAAAAATAACAGAAGAATGTTTTTATACGAATCATTCGTATTTTGAATCTGTTATTGTATATATTATATTATTCCAATAAACCATTAATGTGCAAAATTTTAATAATTTCGTTATATATTCCGCATTAATGAATGCTTTTCTATTCTAATCATATATTAGGTTGTTCGGAAGTTTCGTACCAAATCTTTTACGTAAGTTCGGAACGCAACATTTTACTCAAAGAATAACTGTATTTAAGCAAATATGTACCACTTTGTTCAAAGACCCTGGCCAATCTCTCGGGTAGCTGTTCTAAAACGAAAGTTTCTTATCAGAGAAGAATCGACGTGAATTTGAGGGTTTTCAAAGGTCCGAATTTTTTGCCACAAAGAAAATGTTTCAAAGAGAGAAATAAGTAATACATGGGGCAAGGTTTAGAGAATACGTAGGATGAGGAAGAACGTTCCATTCGAAGAAGGTTCCTTTCGTTCCAGCAGTTTCCTATGGATGGACATCGCGACAAAAGGTGTTATTATAGTGAAAGGCAACTCCACGCTTGTTGATTAGTCCAGGGCGCTTTTGTGCGGTAGTATTCAGTTCGTCCCGGTGGATGCTGTGTTACACTACATTCGGCTGAAGAAGTTCATAATACACCATTCCTTTAAAATCCCATTGGATTCTGGGAAAAATCTTCTTTGGGCGAAGAGCCAGCTTCGAACCTTCGATACTTCGATACCACTTCCGAACTGTCTGGTAGGTGACGCAGGCATCTCCATACGAAAAGGATATCTCATTTAGGGTCTGCGAAGCTGTGAAGCCATATTGGAAGCAATATAGCATCACATGGCGAAAGTGGACTCCCTGGTTTTTCATTTTTCTACCTGATTTCTGTCAAAATGGTTGCATTTAGAAAGGCCAGGAAGGTTCCCTTGGCGGGCTCACAGATCAGGTTGGCAAAATTATCTGGAACGCCTTCGTTCTCATTGATTACAATAGCAATACGGAGCTCGTGAAATTTGAGACGAACTTTCCGAACAACAACATTGATGTGAAACAATAAGGCAATCTATTATGCATGACCTATGCAATCTTTTGCGATATTCTTCTATATCTGAATTGAATATAATGTTCTATTCGTCTGTTCTATATTATTTTGTAATAATCTATTCTTTTATTCAGTAATATTTTATAATATTACCCTGTTCAAAATGATAGAAAATAATACAAGCATACTGCATTCCGAATCATATATTCGTGATTTTGGACATGCTATCATATTATTCCAATAGACCATCAATGTGAAACTGCAGTGATTTTACGATATATTCTGTATTACTTTTCGTTTTTCTATACCAATCATATATATTGATATATGAATATATCATAGATTTTTCGATAGAGTTGAATATTTATTATCCTGATATATATATTTATATATCCTGATAATATTAAAAAAATATTACAAAACATTTTTAGAATATTGTACGAATATTATTTTAATATTGAATAATATTCATATAATATTCTAGGAATATCAAGCGCTTACAGGGTTTCCTTTCCGAAAACAAGAATTGAGTTACACTTCCGAATTCCAATTTTATCGGACGAAGAATTAATAGCGGAATGACTTGAAACTTCGCGTGGGTTATTACAAGAAAGAGAGAACCTGATAACCACATATATAATTGTATCGCTTATAGTTTCTACGAATCAACGAATCAGTATTCTTTAAACCACCCTCGTAGAAGCACTCGATAAGAAACACTTTTCCTTTGACGCTTGGAACATTCATTCTGACTGGTAAACCGGCTTGTACAACAGCTCGAATGAAATTGACGAATGCTTCGGGTACCGGAAGCTAATTAGTTAAATGACCGCCGAAATCGAAGAGGGGAAATATAACCGTTCACTTTAGACGCAATCCCAATGGTCACCCAGTACTAACGGAAAGAAAAAAAAAATATATACCTAGCTATATTTTATACCACACAAACGTTTCATAAGATAATTTCATACGGTCATACTTCATGATAATCTCTCGCGTGCCATGTACTTACTTTGTTACATGCAATTAGTAGTATACCACCACTACTATGCAATCAACTAATATATCATAGGAAGAGAAAGAACCAAGCTTCTTATGTATTCAAGCTCCGACGGCGAACTTAGTGATTCTACGTAGAATACGACCGAGTGATTGCACACGCGTGTGTGAGAATTTACTACGTATATTACATTATGGCGACATTACAATACGTAAGCGTCGAGGAGGATGTAAGTCGAGTCAAAGTAAAGCGATTGCTCGCTCCTTCCCGCACCCGTCAAATGGGCATTGTTATCCACATTCCTCTCTCGCACACTTCCGTCGCGGATACGGATGTCGTTACGTAGGATAGTCTCTCAAGATACATTATTTAGCCCGGTCGATCGTGTTAACAACGCGAGAACCAGATCCCCCGCTTTCAACCAGCCTCTCTCACCCAGATCGGTTATTCTGATTAAATTTTACCTGTAGATTTCGTGGCAGTGGTTCGGACCTTGTAGAAGTGCCAAGCGTTGGTTCTGACGAGGTGTAATCCTCAAGAATAGTCCGCGGCCGAGGTACACCACTGTGACCTCCCTTCAGAACCAGTAGTTAGTACGCATAGCAATGCAAGCAGAGGAAGTTAACAATGAGAGAAATTCAAGATTCAAAGTCTCGCATGCTCGATAGGAGTCACAAGTAAGGTCAAATACACGGTTCGACTCTTTCGGAGGTGCAGATATATATATATATATGTGTGTGTGTGTGTGTGTGTGTGTGTGTGTGTGNGTGTGTGTGTGTGTGTGTGTGTGTGTGTGTGTGTGTGTGTGTGTACATGAAACGACTTTGCGTGACTAACGCGGTCGGTACGGCGATATCAATGGCCGAATCTCAATGTCCGTAATGTAAGATATACGTGTCACACGTGCGAGAGATATATAATGATTACGAGAGGACATAATCGAGATATAGTGATCGTTACGCTGGGGCTACGTAGATGCAAGACACCAATCGATAAGTGAACACTACATGCTGGGCGTTGCAAGAGATCTTTTAACTACGGCGGGTTACTGGAGAAATCATTGTACATTACAATCGTATCGAGGAGGTTCGAAAGAGACCAATACGGATGTACACTACGTCCGGGACTGGTAATTGATGGGACAGCATGAAGAAACGTCGCAGTCGCACGCAATTGTGCCGATTGAACGTGAACATCAAAAGACGAGCTCGTTTAATTTACCTTGTCGAGTCTCAATGCACGCGAATCTAATACAGAGCCTATCTTCGAGCTGATCTGTCGTTGAACCATACAATACATATTGAATATTCTTCAACTCGAACATTTGTTCCAACTTATCGCTGAAGTAACGAGCAAGATAATGTATGATGATAAACTAGTGCAAAGCATTGTGCGACGGCATCAGTATATCTGATCATCGTTGCGGTGAATACCCGGAACAAGGTAGTGCGTAATGAAAAAGTGCTAGAGTCTCGCTGCTATCAATGTCACTTGAAACTATCGAGCATAAACGCAAAGGTACTCAGGACAAAATATCGAAGATATGTATAGTTGAACGTTTAGAAAGACACGCAGATCGTACTCGCTACGTAGAGCTGTATAAAGCGACAGATTGAAACATCGAGTCGTGTAATCTACGTTCTCGATCTATCGAAAGTGCATGCAAGTAGTCTCAAGTAAAATCGTCATTACTTCGTGGAGAACCAAAGTACGGCTTCGGTATCGATTTATATATACATATATATAAATATATATAATATATAAATATATAATATAAATAAAAAAAAATAAATAAAAAAAATAAAAATAAATAAATAAATAAATAAATAAATAAATATATATATATATATATATATCTAATAAATATAAATATATATAAATAAATACATCGTCACTATATCGAATCGAATCCCATATGTGACGGGATTGATGACTTTTACCTGAGAATTTCGGTTCAATTATTCTCGTTGTACACTTCTTTCGAATTTGTTCGGTAGGACAAATGTCTGTCGCTCTTATCAGGTTGTATTTCGGGATTTTAGATAATCACGAGTTGTGCGAACGGACTTACCTTGGTCGACGGCGGACCTGACGATGTCACATCATGGTCAGCCAAAATCGAAGAATTATTCTCGTCGACAATGATGACCTCATATTCACCATCATCCTGGGAACCCGATTGGCTCATTATACCTCCTCCGCTACCTAAGAACACGCGAACGAGACACAGTATTAAAAGATCGAAAAATCGGTGGGTCTTCCACGCAAAGCAAGTCGATATTCATACACATGCGTCCAACGAATTTAACAAAATGGAAAAGTTGTTTCCTCCCTTTCTCTTTATTTTATAGTGCATAAAACGATCACTGATATAGTCTTGTACTTTTTTTTTATAACCTTTATACTTTTACTTGTGCTATTTATTGAAGTAATATGACTGTAACAAAATCGCACAGTAGATTACGATATTTATACGTAAGTATAATAAAAACATACACACAAACATTCCTCGTCGATTTCCTCAGGGGATTGTGCACAATTTCACAGACTAAATCACAAAACGCAACATTTATGCAAGCATCTTCTATCGGATGACTCAAAGTATCACAAGCGATCGCAAAATAAGTCGCGTATTATTTGCAGCATAATAATAAAGAACGCCAAAATATATAATATGAATTATATGATTGTATAAAAATGAAACTCTCTTTTCAGGTACACGAAAGTAATTACTGTTCCGGTTGTCTATAGTAAATTATTTTTTTTGTTAACAACTACTATGTGTATCTTCATTCTATTAGTCTCATTCTTTAACTTTTAGCAAATATATATATATATATATATATATGTGTGTGTGTATGTGTGTGTATGTGTTATGATTTTGTTACTATGTTGTAGACAGGCGTGATGTTATAATAAATATATATAACGTATAATATATACTCAAAGAGTACGTGCTACGTTGCAACAAGCAATTAACTAATTTTATTTACCGTTTCCAGAACGATATATACGGATCCAAAGTAATTGCTGTGTGTGCACAACATGCGGCATAAGGAGAGTTTCCTTTGGAAACTATTATAACTAAGTTTGGCCAAAGTTTGGTCGATCATTTATGAACCGTCTACAACGAGTGATCAAGAAAGTGGTGAACGAAGAACAAAAACACAATTTTTCTTTCCGGATCCTTCTAACATAAGGTAACATAACATGTCCCTTCTTAAGGTAAGCCAAACAACCCGGAATTGCAACATAGCAATGACTCGGTAGCGGCTGTGTGTAACATCGAGAGGAGACATTGAGAAAGTCGCAATGTGAAAGCTCGCCGAGGGACTCGCTCGCTATCGGTAAGCGTCTCGTGCAGGTCGCAAGTCAGCTAAACAAAAACGAAAAAGGGATGCGCAAGAAAAACCAGGCGAAGAAAAGAAACTCGGAGCATTCCGTGAAACAACTTTTCGGGCTTTTCGAGTTACCTTGCAGACCGACACCGGAGTTTCTATGACAGAGATTTCGGGGCTGATCGATATGCTTTTGAAGCGTATGGTGGTGGTTGTTGTTATTGTGATGGTGGTAATGATGATGGCGATGGTAGTTATGGTTATTCGGGTGATGGTTGTAGTGATTATTATGATGATTCGGGAGATAATAGTTGGAGGGGGGCTGGCGACTAGAGTGCCTGGCAGCCGGTAGCGGGTGCTGGTGATGGTGCTGATTGATGTGATGGTTGGCATTGGCATTGGCATTCGCATTGGCGTTAGGGTGAGATCCCGGGAGGAACTGTGGGTACACGTGGTGAGACCACTGTGGAAATAGGGGCCGCCCTCCTCCACCACCATTCCCATCTGCCGAGGAACCACATTTACCACGTTATCGGGTCATGCGTTATCATCACCTCTGTCGTTCGCGATCCATAACATAATCTGGATACTGCCTTTCACTCTATGCGCACGATGAGCAGAAAGACCCGAAGAACGCGAGCAAGACTCAGCGCTCGCGCATCGAAACACTTAGTCGCGGAATTGTACTTTCATCGGTGTGTGTTTTTCGCGGCGAAAAAAATTCGTGATAGCTATATTATTGGGTCAACAACAGAGTCCGATGTAGAATTTCTCGAGCGAATATTAGGACCGCGAGAAAATATATTAAACTGTGAATCAAGTGACGTTAAAAGACGTATTAAACTTCCAATGAACTCACATTCCCACTCATAGAATGAAATTCAGTATGTGAAGTTTCATCATTTTAAATACGTATCGTTTTATCAATTGTAAATAATCGTAAATCGATGATGCTAACTCGCCCCATGATATAGATTTCAACAGAATTTGTGTGAACAAGAGAACGACAACATCGTTCAGATCGATTTAAAATACCTAATAGAACACTGCCGGCGCATTATCGATGTGATATTAAATCACCGGAGTGTGACATTCTAGATAAGACTCATCTCATGATATAATCGACCGCCGGTTTGTCAAACATCTAAGTATTAATCGTGTAACAGCAGTCATAGAGACATCTAGTTGCCGAGAGAATTCCTCACATAAAGAGAAGTTTCACATTCAAGAGAATACAGTCACAATGATATAACGACGGAAGAGTATATTTATAACTCAAAGTAGTGCAAACACATTCGGCAAACATCAAAACTCTCACTGTCAGATACATATAGGATGTTTACTTCATACAGTGCAATATAACACATGCGTTCTACTTGGTGTCATGTGCTGTTGTTTCAGTTGCAGCTACATCGTTTTCGGTGCATAGTGTTGAACACTAGCTACATATCTGTACACATATGTCCGCTCTATTTATAACATCTATATTATATATCTCATTCATTTTTAAACATTATTGCAATGAAAATTGCTTCGATTAGCTAAACCGCCGCTGAAAAGTTACTGAAAGATTACACAACGATTTATTCGTAACGGCGAATTATCATTAATCAAAACTTTGAGGGCTCTTTGCATTATTAAACACCAACAGCTACGTCATCACGAGACGCATATTGTAAATTTTAGCCTTCGAATATTAATATAGCTGCAATTTCATGCTGTAGTATCGGAAACTAATCGTGGATTAACACTTGTTAACACCAATCGAGAATTTAATTCATATATATTTATGCATATATAATAATTTCTAAAAAGGATGAGAGAGAATATATATATATGTACATACATATATATACATATCTGACACATAAGAGTTTTGATTAAAGAGAAATTTTTTAAGATCTTAAGTCTTTCACGTTCATTGAAAATATATATTAAGTAATTTAACTTTAATGAATCTTGCGATCTGATATTTACAAAGATTACTCTTCAATTAATATCAGTGACGTCGCTAAAGGACAAGGTTCTCACCTGAAGGACTAGCTGGCCTGAGACCGGCGCCATTCGTCTGTATTGTTTGCACTGGACTGGGAGGACGCTGTGATATTGGTGGTTCCAATATGTCGCGATATTTAGATACCATTAATACAGAGATGAAGTAAACTATAGCTAAGGACAGAAACTGCGCCTGCTTGGTTTCTTCCTGAAATCAACGTTAATTCGATTTGCTTTAATTTCTTTTTCTATCTTATAAAAATGTAACTGTATTTCTACATCAGTTATGCAGGACGTTTTATTTAACTCGATCATCTGAAATATTTCTGTTTATTTAAATAAGGTAGGTATTTCCATTAACATAGCTGTTAAAAAACAAATTATAGGAAGTAAAAAAACAAATTCGACCAGATAGAGCATACTTGACTTTTAAATGATCTCGAACAACAAAAATCACGTTTAAAATAAAGAAAGAAGTGTGTGAAATTTAAGTGTTTAGTGCGAATATACATGCAAATATATAACGCAATATCTCTTTTATCTCAAAAGAATTTTTTCTCGCAAGAAACTTAGAAAACGAAATTTATCACAATATCTTTTCAATATTGTAAGGAAGAATTCAATTCAATCATATATCGTCATCGCTCCAGAATTTATTAAAAGTGCAAAATAATCATTCACTTATTATATTCGAAAAAATATAGAAGTTAACAATAATCATCTTAAACATCTTTTAAAATACAAAAGTTGAAGAAGAAGGTGATATTATAACTCCTTATTTGTATTTTACAATAACTCTGTTTATAACCAATATTTTTAATTAAAAACTTCACGAGAGAGAGAGAGAGAGAGATTACATCCGTCAAAGTGTTATCTAATAGATTCTAAACTCGAAGTTATTCTAGACTCGAATTATTTATTACTTAAGACGTTATTTATAATAGATGTGGCGACGCTGCACAATGGATCAAAAAGGAACAGGTATGATAATATGGCACCCCAAAATAGGTTGCTATAAAAAGTTGCTTCTATTTAAAAAAATTACGGTATTTGGTTACAAATTCATATATTTATTTAAAATCTCTCTCTCTCTCTCTCTCTCTCTCTCTCTCTTTCTGTCTGTCTCTCTCTTTCTCTCTTAAGTCCATTCTACAATAGTAAGAATATGTAGTAAGACATAAACAGTAAGCGAATTGACCAGTCATAGTCGATTATTCTTGGATTTTAATAATCTAATTGGTCAATTAGTTTACTGTTTACGTCTTACTGCATATTCGGCAAATGTTCACAATAAAGGAAGCAGCTCTGATTGATTTGACTTTGTCACATGTTGTCAAAGAAATGATCCTGAGTGATAATCGAAAGATTTTATATGACGCTCATCGTTTACTAAAAAGTTATTAAAAAAAGAATTTTGGAAAAAGTATGAATTAGAATTATCCACTATGTATGTAAATGTTTCATATAATACATGATCTCTATATATCCATATGTGTCATGGACGAGGTCATTGGAGGTGAGTTATAGTAAATACATGTACGTGTTCCAAACATTTTTTGTTAAGAACTTTTTAATGAACAATGAGCGACGCATAAAACTTTTCGATTATTACTCAGGACCATTTCTTTGACGACATATGTGAAGGTCAAGTCAATCGGAGCTGCCTCCCCTATCGTTAACATTCGCTTTCTTTCCTTATAAACGTGATTTTTGTTGTTCAAAGTCATTTAAAAGTCAACATATGCTTCGCAGTCCTAATTTATTTTTTATGAACTAAATCATGCGAATGGAAATATTCCATTGCAGTTGAAAAAAATGTCGATGACTTTGAAATTCTGTAAAATACAATCTCGAAAACATTCTTATTTATTAGAAAAATATCTGTTCTTTTGAATGGAACAATTTTTTCCTTTGCATGTTTTTTTTGCGTATCAATTAGAAGGAAGGAAAATATTCCAGATGCTCGAATCATTCCAGGTGCTGGAGGAACCGCCCTATATAATAAATAAAGAGAATTACTCACAACATCTCTGTATATTACAGCTCTCAAACGATTTACGTCCATGTCTTGCAACAATTTCTCGGGATCCTTCACAGGACTCAACTGATGCGTAAGATTATCCACGATGTTCTGTAAATAAATATTCCGACGCATTATTAGATATCAACCGAGTACAAAAGAAAAAGACGGTTGTTCTTCAGCAATAAATTTCGTATTCTAGAAAAAAAGAAAAATACACACTCGTTCGTCAATAGCGTTGTTCATCGATAGCGCTACACTTATTAAGCTGAGTTCGATCAGATGAAACGTACCTTAGGCGATGTTTGAGCTCCACGTATGAGCGACTGTATATGTTGTGATTTATTACTAGAACCAATCTGCCGACCTAACATGCTGTACGACCTGCCACGTTCTTTACACTCTAAGCAGTTTCTAACGGCACATGTGCAGACCTATAGAAGCAGTTTTATTAGGTATAAATATAACAAAGGGTGTCGCGCGTGTAAATATTAATAAATATCTAATTGAAGTATATATCAATGTCTAAGGATATCACGACTATCTCACACATTTATACGCTTTTCGGAAACTATAACTATAGAAAACAATTTCATATCGATATAATAATTATGATGAGTTCTCTCCTCCTAATATAGAAACTCTTTATACTACGAATTCTATGTGTCGTCGAATGCATCGAGGTAACTAAACGTAATTAGTGTGTGCACTAATACTTAATATATTTCTCCTACAAATAGATCGGCGGATAATTCGCTAAATAAAATATCATTACTTCATGATGAATTCGCGAAATACCTTGTACTCATTAATACAAACCAAGCGTAAACATTGTCGCAATATGCCGCCACTCGACATATTCTTCTCGGCCTCCAGTTCTCCGAAGTTCAACGAGCTGGCGAATATGAGCACATCAGCCATGTTGACTAATCTTTGCAGAAAAGAAACTGCTACCTCAATTGGCATCCCCTGAGTTGGCTCGATTACGTCCAGTTCGCTCTGAAAATATTCAGATTATGAAGGCGCAAACGCAGAAACGGTTATACTTCTTTTTTTTTTTAAGTATTATGTGGCCCCGATTTTTTCTCAAAATAATATATAGAAATTAAATAGTCAATATAGGAGCCGAAGCAGGTTGTTTTAGCAATATTAATATTAATATTAATATTTAATATTAATATTTTTCACGCCCGACTACAGATCAAAATTCATTCACGATATCCTCCTTCTAATAACGCAATTATTTATGATCGATTTAGAGTCGGCCCATATATAGAAAAATCGGTAATCACACTTCGTTCAGCGTAAAAATTCGTACGTTCGCGATACACGACATCTTTACTCTCCCACCAAATAATATTAATGACGGTAATATGAATATTAAATATAACATTAAAATAACCGTGTTTCGGTTTACATATATTGGTCGTTTAATTTCTATATATTGTTTCTATTTCTCTTTCTTAGTCGCTCAGTCGTGTATGATCTGATGACAATTTACATACATTTGGCGAGGTGGCCGATGCTAATAAAGGTAATAAACCACCGCAGGCTATGATGAGATTGTCGGCTAACTGCGAAATTAGATGGACAGTGTTCACCACGAAAATGGCATTTTCGCTGCTGTTGACGAAATCCAATACAGACTTCGTCGAGTGGCTGCAACGTGGAGATTAATATGCAAAACTTCGTCTAGGTGAAATATCGTCGATGACGTATAAATGTATTTTCCTACCTTCTCCACACTTGAATATCTGTTTCTAAGGAAAAGAGGACGTCTGACAGTAGTCGTTGATGTATGTAAGACCATTTGAATTCCGGTATTCTGAAGGGAGGTCGCGTCGGGCCTGGACTGAACATCGGTCGTGTGGAGGGATTTCCTTGCTTCGACCTCTTAGCTTCTGCAATAAAAAAAGGATCACAGATATAAGAGGACATAAGAGGCAGACGCGTCCGCTTTCAATAACATGTACTCAGGATTACAGGTTCTCTGGATTGACTAAATTTTTATTTTTATAACTAAATTAAATTAATTATTAACGATCCATAAAATTGATATATTTGAATTAAAAGTCACTTAAACAAAACTAATTTATTTAAAAGTTAAGTTAAAATTAAATTAGTTTTAATTTATTTAAAGTTCAAAGTTAATTATATACAGCCACGAGTTTATACATATAACACTAAAACAACCGTGCTATGGTTTATATATAATGGTCATTTAATTTCTATATATATATATATATATATCTCAAATAGCAGAGTGACGTTAAAAGACGTCATGTTGACGGCAATATGGCGGAAAATGTGTGTTTTTTGTATAATTAACTTCTTAATCGTAGATTAATCTTATGTGAAATAATTAAAAAAATTACCTATTATAAAAAAATATCGATTGTTTTTGTGCTCAGGATTCCACACAAAGAAGAAACATCAGTATTCAGAGAGAGAAAGACAGAGAGAGAAAGACAGAGAGAGAGAGAGAGAGAGAGAGAGAGAGAGGGAGAGATGGAAAAAATACTGCTGGCATTATCTTTTATTCTATATTTTGTAAGCAGCTAGTAATGATTTTAATATTTCGATGGATTATTTTTAATTGATTTATATAAAGAAAGTTAGAAAAAATTAATAAGTAAAAATTAGAGCATTGAAAAATAACTAATTTAAATTAAAAGTTAACTTATATAAAATTAATTAAATTAATAAAGCTGAGTTTTTGAATTTTTAACTAAAATTTTAACAGATCGAGATATTATTCAATCCGTAGTGCGTATTACAGAGCGAAGAAAAAAAATGACTGGTTAACGCACCGAAATGATTCGGGTCCACCTGGGTGGACGTTGAGGCACTCCTTGGTCGTTTCTGGGGTGACGATGTCTTTCGTAAGGGCACAGGCAAGGATGGTGGCTCGTGACCGTTGTCATCCGCGGCCGTGTCCGTGGATACGATCGGCAAGCTGGATCTGCGATGAGTGTCTACGTGATCTGGAGTTAAGTCATTCAATAACGCATTGTCCCTGGCAACCACATTAGAACTAACGATTTGAGGCACACCGTCGGATAAACTTTTAGTTGCATCACAGACCGTAGATATTGTTGGGATTTGCTGCTTAGGATTTGGCACTTGCGTCACGTTATCTACAGAACTTTGAACATCGCTATTACTACAAACACTATCTGTTACTTCTACCTCGTCGTCGATCGTCGTCGGAACGTCTGGCTTATTATCACTTATGTTAGTAGAAATAGTGGACGGCTCCCTTGACTGTTTCTCGTTTACCTGCGCGTCAACGTCGTTATCAACAATAATAACAGCACTTTTATCCCCGGTTAAAATATCCACGGCGCATTCGTCGCTTAACGCACTATTCACTATTATTGGCTCCGCCTCCGTCGTCTCGTTCTCGAGATTTACCGCGTCCGCCGTGCGAGCCTCGTCGCTTTCTTCTACTATGCTAGTTGAGCAATTAGGACTTTTTACAGTTTCCCCTGTGTCGTTCTCGCCGGTCTCCGGCGCGGTGCTGGTGTCTCCGTCCTCGGGAATCTCCTTCTTCTCGTCGTCGTCGGCTTTCTCGCCTTCGGACGTTCTGCTTCGCATCTCGCTCGAGCTCTCTTGATTCTCGGTCGGCGTTAAGTACGCCTCCGACGTGTCGCTGTCGATGATCTCGCGGTCGTTCTCCAGCTGGAGCTTCTCGATCACCTTCACCGTCAGCGTTTCTTCCCGCGTCTCGTCGGGAGGAACAATTGGCACGGTGTCTTCTTCGGTGGTGACGTCGCTCTTCGCAACGGCCGGCTCGGTCGCTGACGAAGCGGCCTCGACTGGATCTTCCGTGTTGGTCGCATCGGTCGGGCTGTCGTCGATGTTACTACCCTCCGCTTCCGCGACCGGAAGATCCTCGGCATTGTCTGTCGGCGTAGGAACCGCATCGGCCGTGTCTTCCGTCATTTTCCTCGCATCTTCAGACTCGACGGCCGTCGTGTCCGCGCTCTCTTTAATCTGCTCGGTCGAAGAGGGCTCCGACGTAACGGCGACCGGCTGCTTCTCGTCAGTTGTGTCTTCCTCTTTCTTCGGTGTATCTTGAGCTACCATCGAGTCGGGACTGGAGCTTTCGATTTTGTGCACTTCGCTGTAGAAGTCGCTGGAACTCTCGATCGATATCACCTCGCTGGTCTCCTGCGTAGTCGGCAGCGAGACTGCCTCGCTGTTCGCTTCCTCGAGGATGGTCGGTGTTTCCGTGTGAATCTCCCGCGCGATAGTCGGTGTCTCCGGCTTGTCGCTCAATCTGGAGTCCAACGACACCACCTCGCACGACTGGAGAGTGTCCAGGGTCTCGCTGCGCGACTTCACGATCGCCGGACTGCCGTCGCTCTCGGTGTTGTCTATAGAGTTGAGGTCGCAGCTGCAAGACTCCTCCAGTCGATCGTTCGCCTCGGACGCGTCGAACTCCTGCAACCATAATACATTGAGACGTCAAGATTGACGAATATTCACGCAAACTCTCAATACCCTCAATGCGTTCCTCTCGTAAACGAAGTCAGCGGAAGTGTCGTCGATTGAATTATTAGGTCATTAAGTGTGAAATGTCCGATCACCTCATGTACCAAGTTTAATACCCGATATTTCTGATATTTCACTCTGATAATTCTTTGTTTTTTTTCTATTGTGAAGGTACGTCATCAGTCTTTCAGACGCACATTTTGGTTTGTGATTATCTGTCGAATTGCCTTTCGCAGATTAAGTTTTATAAACCATGGTATAAGTAAAAAATTCGCGTTATTTTCGAATATAAGTGCCGTAGTGGAAATAATGCAACGTGGACAACTCGAAGTGTCAACGAAGTGTTTGGCAAGGATGTGGCTAATGAACGCACGTCGATGGTTTGAGAAGTTCCGATCTGGTTCTCTTTCTTTGCTGTCGCGACATAAAGGCGAACCGTTTTTACATTCTTACGTGTAATGAAAAATGGATTCTTTCCGACAATCGCAAGCGTTCGGCACAATGATTGGCACAATGGGATCGCACAAAATAAAAAATATTTCAAATAAAATCATTGATCATACTTTAAGAATAAGTCAGGTTTTACCGATGAAAACAGTCGGCGCTCTTAACGGGACCTATCAGCCAGATTTGACCAATTTACAGCGCTATATTTATAACTACGCTCACCGGTAATTATCGGCTGCTTTTCAGTGACAGCACATTGATTACATTTCGAAAAGCTCATTTAAGAGTTATCTCATATCAACGTGTTGAGTCGTGAAATAACGCGCGAACGCGAAGAAAGGCGGGGAACGGTCGCTGGAGTCAAATAGAAGATCGCGAAAGATTCGCGAAATTACTTTGTAATTCCTCTCCATATGTTGTATCTCATGATTTTGCTGATTGCCCCAGGGCGATGGTCTGCTGTAGCCGTTATTGCCAGAGTGCTGTTGGTCCCAGCCGGAAATCGTGCTGATCGGCCGTTGCTGCCTCAGCTCGGGATCGGTGATGTTGTCGGACCTCTGTCGCTCGTAATGCTCGTACATTTGGGCGAACTGAAGTTTGAACTCCTCGTAGGACACCTGCGTTAATCCAACCGTCGTGAGGGCGTTAAAATCGCTTCGAGGGACATTTCGGCCGATATTTGTCGCAACTGACTCACCTTGGAGTGGACGATGGCCAGCGTGTCGACCCAGACGCGCCAGCCGCCGTATTCGTGCTTGATGGCGTGATGAAGGAGCATACGGAACAGAGAATACACCATGTCGGATATTTTCTGCTCCTCCGTATTCTTCGGGTGGATGTAAGCCATGGCGATGAGCCACTCCTGCCACACGGACATCTGCAGCACCGTTCTCCGATTCTCCCGGTTGTTGTTGCACAACAGCGTCATGTCCGAGAGAAAGAGCTTCTTCACCTCTAGCAGCTGCTCCGTTTGCTTGGACTGCCGGATTAACGTCGCTACTACTTTCAGAATCACTGAAACACAAATGTGACACCGCGAGGGGATTAAGTACGTACATACGGAGCCGCGTTTTCGACTTGCGTGCGATTACGAATCGATTGCCTTGGCTTACTCGGATTTTCCAGACGATAGTGGGATTCGGGCTCAGGATGTCTGGCGTACAATATCTGTTGACTGATGTGTTCTGTCATGATCTGAAATCAATTGAGAAACGGAGGATTGTGATCAATATTTGGAGAAGCGAACGATTAATCTGACCGAAAGTGTAATACAATTATAGTAAATACCTCATATAAAACATTGTACGTCGGCAATGAGAGCGTCTCCTCGTTCAATAAGAGTCTTTCGGCCAATAACGTGTACAGATTATGCGGGCTCATAACATCGTATTTCCGTCTATGCATTAGATAATATTAATATTTCCTTTTTAGGACGCGTCCTCTCTTATTGTGCCGCAAGTTATCTATAAAGGATCGCTTACTTGTGTGTACTGCGGCTGAGGAAGAATCCTAGCAGTTTCAACGCTTGCAAGCGTATCAGTTGGCTCTCCGCCGCCAGGAGCTTGAAAATCGTTCGCACGCCTTGTTTCGCGTCGAATGCGGGCACCATCGACGAGGGGTGTTCGGACATCAAAGATATGAGCATTTGTAAAACATCGTGGAGATTTTCGTCCTGAAAGTTGTGCTATTTTAAATACCCTCGATCACACACCGCGTCATCGCTAAATCAATGAATCTATGAACTCACTCTGATTTAATAATAATAATTATAATAATTTCAGTCAACTAAACATTACCTCGTGCATCGTTGTTAAATAATTAAGAATGCTCTGCAATTCGTCGTCCTTCACCCCGTTTCCGATCATAATCAGTTGTTTCAAGAATAATAAAATATACGAACGAATCGTAAGAATGTCCTTCTGTTGCGGGCGAGGTCCATCTGCGAAAAATATGTTCTCGTACGTGGATTTTTTAATCGTATTTTATTTAGTAGAGAAAATTTAATATCTTCAGAGATGTCACTCGATTAAGTAGAGCGTAACACGTACCAAGTCCTTTTGGTGTAATTCCGCTTTTGGATCGAGGATTAGCCACCCAATAGTAATACTTAAGAGTGTGCACCGTTTGCAACACCGTCGACACACGTCTCACATTGGAATATATCTGCGTGTCGCTAAGAAACTCTGTGGCCAGGTACGAATAGAGCCGCGTTTGTACTGGTGCTGGCGTGTATATCCATAGAGCGGGATTAAAAAGGACGTGATCCAGTAGCTGCCATGTTAGGAATGAAAAATAAAACAACTACATCACCATGGATCTGCCTGTTCTTCGGACACACCAATCTAGCCGACTTATATGATTTCCCGAGTTGCTCGCTAATTATTTCATCGATATGTTAATTTGTGCAATTAACGCGACCTTAAGCGATCCAGAGTAACTCAATGTATATATGTATATATAAAGTATTGTGTTATTATAAATATATAAACAAATATATAAGTATGCATTTGTTTCTTTATTTGCATATACACGTATATACTATTTTATTATACACACGTGTGTACATAATAAAATAGTATTGTACGAAATATACGTACAAAAAGAAAATGTCTGATATTACACAGATCCTTCACACACATAATCACAAGTAATTATATAAAATTATAGGGACGAATATTGATTACGGATCGTTAAGCTTATGGGGGTGATTGAAAACAATTTGCTGATGGCACTGCTGTTACATCTAATAACAATTATTACACAGGAGACGGCTGACGAATATGAAACGTTATGAGTGCAGATAGATGCTCGTGCATTTATGCTGACTGGAATTCTGAGGGAGAGAATGTGAGAAACGAATATAAGGTTGTACATATGGATTTGTACACTCTGCAGACCGGAGAATACTATTGTATTCGGATGATTGTTTTGCATTATAGAAGGTGCGATTATTTATAAATAAAATGCAGCCATGTAGATTTCATATTGAATTCATACCACGTTGCAAATCAATCAAATGTGTATTAAACTTGGTATTTAAATAGTGGAGATCACTCCGATGCTGGAAGAATTTCACAATGGTCAGAAATAAAATGCCGTGTATCAGGGTTTCGATCATAGAGAGAAAGAGAAAGAGAAAGGGAGTGCATATTCGAAGATACGAGAAAGTAATTTTCTTACGATAGCAGAGATGGAAGATTTTCAGCGTCGCAAAACAAGGGTCAGAAATTTCGATGTGAAAGCGACACATTCGGAACAAAATATTTTGCGTAGGCACTTTTTTCAAATCAGGGAGCTCAAAAGTCGGTAGATTGCATGCGATCCAAAGTTCGGATAACATAACAATGATCGAAGAAAGTGAGTGGTCATGCTCGTGGCAGGCTCGTGGAGAAGCCTTCGACAGTTTCAAGAGCACAAAACAAAATGCACATTAAACATACACATTGATACACACGGAAGAGACATCATTTCAATAGGAGCGAATCGTGACAAAAGCGTGGAAGCTATTGCATTACTTAGCAATTCGGTGGTACAGGATGCGTCGGCATTAGTAATTCAACTGATCAGATTGAACGCAAACTAGTCGACTTTTATAGTCGACAGGATATACATAAGGTGGAAAACAAGTTGTACAAATGTGAGAAGAGATATTTGCCAGACGTATATGTGGATAAAGGCTTAGCTTTTGCATAAATTACGCAAGAACTTAATAAACAAATAATAAGTTATCAAACATCCTTCGAGAAAGTATGAATAAATGGTTGCAACGCAACATTATGTATCGTTTTGTGATCTTCAACTGATTTTCAAGTTATTCTCGTTTAATTATTCTCTCAAGTTTTGAGATGCTTCATTTAATTTTTACTTCGCATTAATATGTACCATATTAATGGCATTAGAATATTAACTTGTAATGAGCGCAGCAATTTATTAATTAATAGATCGGTACCTGTTTTAATAACAGATCGCTGTTTGCGCTGAGGCAGGTCACCAAATGCTTCGTGAGTTCCAAGAAGGATGCGAGAACCTCCGTGGTGAGGTGATCTCTACTCGCTTTCTGCAGCATGAAGCTGATTACCAGGAACCCTCTGTTTTGTACCATGTGTTGTTGAACCGTCTGAGAACTCTCCACTAGGTCGCAAATGAATCCGAGCAGTTTCGAACTGGAACGCGACGTACATAATATTGCTCGTTAACGTTTGTCTTGTAGAATGTAACTTCTTCTAGACAAACGATAGAGGAAAAGCACCAATACCGACCAATACCGACATACCATTTTGTTTTTAGGCTTTAAAACTCTGTGTTTGTGTGTGTTGAAAGTATAGAATTAAAATTTATATGCATGGATGCAAACTAGCAATACTTCTTTGCCAAAATACACGAATGAGTGAGAAAAAAAGAGAGAAAGAGGAGAGAGTAAGAGAGAGAGAGGGTGTGTGTGTGTGTGTGTGTGTGAGCTTATGAAAATTATTATGAATTTTTCTTGCAAATAAATATTTTTTAAGATATTTGAGTATTGATGATTCTAAAAAGTAGACCCTAAAATCGATACCCACGTGTGTGTGTGTGTGTGTGTGTATAATACTTATAGAACTATAAAATAATTACATTAGTTTATACATTTATTACACATCCTTACATGTTATTTTTAACCTTACATATTATTTTTAATTTAAAAAATTTTACAATACTGTTCTTTTTTATTATATAAAAAAGTATCCCCCCGACTTCTTCTTTCAGACCATCTTAAATAAATAAACAAGGAAAACAGGGTGAAATCAGTCATTAGTAGCTTCAACTAAATTCTGCGAAATATTTTACAGCAAAATTGAAACATGTCGATCGAAAGACCGATAAACTCAAGTATGTCAGTTTACAGAACGACCTAATCTTAATTTCTTTGCACGGCTCAGTAACGAGAAGATAGAAATTAGCACAAGGTCCAAAGTGATTGAAGAAGTTCGGAACTCACACTATAAAATGTAAAATTGTCAAATGGATTACTTACCCCGCTGATCTGTTAATTTAATTTTTACAAGAAGGTAGGTCAGAAACTTCACAGCGCAACGAACAATCAAACTAATGACACAACCGAATGGTGCGCAAACAGGAAGCGCGGTCTTCCGTGTATGTTTCTCAACATAAGTACATCGGTTCATTATAGCTATGTTAATTTTAGTGCTTCTCCTCGAACGACTAAGTATTGGGATTTACCATAACGTGGGATCGCGCTTAACGTCGTTCGGCGCTATGCAGTCGTAGGGCATATCCAACTGCGAGAATAATGGGAACAGCACTTGTATACCGCCTATCGAGTTCAACGTGCTGTGAATCGAGTGCGTTATGACCGCCTTGACATCCTGAAAGCCGAAATACGATGTAACACATATGGACATTGGTGGGTCGCGTCTGGAAGTTTATTTCACGTCGCGGCCCTCGTGAAACGGAAGTAACGAATGTACCCGTCGGGGGAATAACCGTACCGTGTCCCGTGGCGCATAAACCCGGCTCCGGTCAAAATCGTAAATAACATTACGAAAGTATGTGTACCTGCAGCATGAGAGCGTGCGGTGTATGTACAAAATAGGAAACGTTGCCTTTCGGTGCGCTCTGCAAACAGAGCTGCGAGTCCGTCGCTACTGGATTGTACATGAACACAATTGCATTCGACAGCTTCCCATCGTAAAGTACCTGAAAAATACCACGTACGAGTTTCAGCGAACAGCACGTTTTCACGTTTGTCCGGGGATCTTCGACACACGTTTATCGCGTTGTAATGTTAATCGTTCGCAGAATATGCTATCGTGGGATTCGGGGCGAATGCGCGCGGCAAATAAGTCAGTTATCGGCATCTTACCGGCGTATGTACAAACATCTCGGGTTCTTTCAGCTAACTACGTAATAAGACACGCAGGAAAATAATACACAGACACATTCCGCGCGAAATCGACAGTCGATACAGACGTTTCTTTGCGTGCCACCCAGACACCGCTGCTTATTACCAATGAAAAAAAAAAGAAATACCCACTGGCGTTGAATCAGGTAACACGGCAGGATTTACACGTAAAGGCGTAAAGTTAAAGCGATGTTACGACAGAGATACACATTATGCATATATAACATACGTTTGCTATGCGAATAACGGCATCCACTAATTAAAAGAGACAAGCGTTTAATGAAGGGGGGGGAGGGAGAGAAATAAATTGTAGATACTGGGTATTAATTAACAGGCAGTATAAACAAGGCTTCATAATTGTACAATACTGTACACACTTGTTCGATACGAAGTAATACAAAGCAAATCAATACGTAAACTCGTCGGCTGCAACGACCGCCGGGGGAAAGGTGTGTTCATAATCAGGATAATTACCTCAGACGGACTCGTACGCAGTAACAAAGTAATTAACGAGATACAAGTCATATGTTAACGGGGCGGAAAATAAAATCAAAATGCTTACAATTTGCATACTTTGGTCCACCATGCTCGTGAGATCCTGGTCACTCACCCTTTTATGATTGTCAGGCAGATTCAAGTAGCACTCGTTGTCGAAACGAAATTGGCTCTGTTCACGCGGAGGACCGGAAAAAGAGAAGAGAGAGGAGAGACAGGCGATGAATGAATATTACGTCATCCATGAATGCGAAATGAATGTCCGCGCGAACGGATCAGAGATTTATATACCTTATATCCCGGTCCCAGTCGGTGCATCGCGCATATCTGATGCGTCGTCAGCGCTTCGCTGAACAAATATATCGCGCTCATTTGTCCGCAAAACACGCGCTCTTCGTCCAGTTCGGGGGTCGCTCCGATGTAGCATTTGTCAAAGGGCTGCAAAAAGCGACAGGCGTTACCTTCTCTCGAATCGTCAAATTAGCGAGAGGTCGTTATCGTTCGTGGTCGAAATCAGCACACGCCGGGCTCACTTACGTCATTCGTCGAGACGAACCATGCCATTTCCGTGCTCGATGCCAACTGACCGTTGACCAGACACTTAATTTCACTTTTCGTCCACCTATTGTATATGTACACTACCGCGATCATATACCACTGTAAGACATAAAAGTGAGTGTCATCGACTGACATGCATCGACGGTTCGTCTGTGTTAGACGTAATTCGGTACGGAGGTTCGAACGTTTGATATATTAAACCTATAATAATGCATACATTTTAAATCTCTAATAATGTATACATTATACAGAGTGATTCATTTTAATCTTAACTGGCAAATATTCCGAAAAAGATGGAAGATGTAGGAAAATTTTTTGGATAAAAGTTGTAGTGTTCAAAGGGATCAAAACGGCGACTTTAACTTCGTTGTAGTCAATAATGCACGATCATTTTAAGGGCAATTTCATTTTTTTAAATAGGATCATGTAGCTTTTTTTTTTAATATAAATCGATTCTTTTGTTCGTTATATGTATAACAGTACTAGAGCATGGCTATCTAAATACGAATACTTTTCGAGTTATTTTACTTTTTATTCTGATATCTTTCAGTACCAAATATGAAATATCTCATAAAGTATTTCTTCTTCGATATCACCACCTCAACACTTCTGTATATAAAATGGCAAGTGGAATCGATCGCTGCAAGCAAACATAGAGAAACTTTAATAAAAAATATTGCATTTTGCAAATACATCGAGGTACTAATGCAATGATTGATATTAGTAATTGATTTCTCTCATTTTATTATGTTAAAAAGTATTAAGGTGATGTTATCAAAAAGTGAATATTTTATGAGATATTTCATATTTGTCGTACCAAAAAATATCATAATATAGAGTAAAATAATTCGAAACTTAAATTATTTTTCTTTAGTATTTTTATACATATAATGAATAGAGGAATCGGTTTATGTTAAAAAACTATATGATTCTATTAAAAAAAAAAAAAAATGAAGTTTGACTTTGAAATAATCTTGAATTATTAATTGTACAACAAAGTTAAGGTCACTGTCTTATGTCCCTTTCCAAACCTTACAACTTTTATCTGGAACATTTTTCCATATCTTCCATATTTTTCGAATATATTGCTTATCAAATATATTTACTTATATTGTTAAAATTAAAATGAATCACTCCGTACATAAGTTAATTGAACTATCAATGCGTAACAGAAAATTCAATAATCTTTACCATATCGTTTCCGAGATATTTAATCATAAACTAGTATAATGTGGGCATGTATAGAAACCTTATAACAGATTTCTTCTAATTTGATAAATTTGTGTATGATGGAAGTTTAAAAATAATGTCGTCATAATAAAATATAGTAAAATGAACACTTAAACTTGTTTTAGTAAAGTATCATATAAATTTACCGTCTGGTTGACAAAAATCTAGATCTGAATCGATAAGAATATTCGTGAAATCGACAATGAAATGGAACATGGTAACATCACATTTACATAAAGTTAACGCTAGATCTGAAATAACCTCATAATGTCATTCCTAATACTTATTTCTATATTTATTATTCATATTTCTTTTAATATAACACCTGTGTATTTCCAATTCAAATTAAATTGTACTGATCGTTTATTAAATACAACGACGAATACATACTTCATGTTTATATTTCTTTTCTTACTATTGATATTTAATAAAAGATTATTTAAGAAAAGATATCGAATAAATCTTACAACTTTCATATTGTTATTTTTTAAATATCTGATAACTTTTAAAATCAAGAATAAATATATATTATGATATCTGCAAATTTCACCTTATTAATATTGTTGAAAAATTATTTTTAGTCATTTAGAACAATTTGATTAATAAAATACTCATTGACTAGAGAGTAACGTTTAAACCTCCGTAATAAACCATAAACTAAGCAACTAAACAAAATTCAGAGTTGGGAAAGTTACTTTCGAAAAGTATCATGTTATTATCATTAATTGTGTATTAAAAAAAGTAATTCGTTACCGAAGGAAAAGAGTAACTCATTACCGTTATCGTTACTTTCAACATTTCTTGGAGTGAAATTTCATTCATGAAAGTAGAATGACAGCCGAGTCACTCGGATTCGAGTAATTTTTCACTTGTATAGGGTAAATTTTCCATTCTGAATCGTCGAGTGAATATTTTCGTTCAAAACTAAAAAGTGAATTTGATGTATTTCACCGTCAAAGGAACAAATTCATTTTAGCTGATCAAAATATTCATTCGTATGGAAGCAGAATTCTAAGCTTGACTGAAACACTCGCTCTTGTATTTTCGAATGACAGTATTTTCAATTTTCAAGCGATAGTGAAAATACTGCCGCCTTTCATCTGTCTTGAGTGAAATTCCACTTCAAACAAGTTAAAATAACGAGTAGTTCCAGTTGCCGTTACAATTATTTACACCAAGTTTTCAAGATTCACTTCTGCTCATTCTATACACATGTATTCTATATGTGCGAAACAACGATAAAAGTAACGATTATATCGTTATCGTTATTCACAAAATATAATTACCATTATTAATGCGAAAAAATAAAATCGTTAACCAGTTGTTACTGAGAAGACATAACTTATAATGCTAATGGTGCTGTAAGTAACGTGTTATTTCCCAACTCTGGCAAAATTTTAGCGTAAAATGATTAGGCATACGTCAAGTGGAGAAGCATTAGCTAAACAGCGTGTCTAATAGCATACCTTTCGTGGCTGAAATTCATATTTGACACAATGTTGGAAGCCCTTGCCCTTTACTTTCATAGAAGTCAGGACTAAGCAGTTCCCTACGAAATGCGCAGAGTATCCTACTCCTTTGCTTGTTTTAAAGCTAAAATATAATGATGGAGCGTTATTACTTTCCTATTCTCAGCGAAGCCGCTTCGCTTACATTTATTCTCCCTTTGTTGCCCTACTTCTACTTTTTATTCTTTGAAAGGGTCAGATACAGAAAAAAAGAGGAGCGACGGAAGTCGAAGGTGTATAAAAAACAGTTAAATTATTTCTACGTGTGTGTAAAGTTAGATTAAACCGTGAGAAACAGTCCGTAGTTGAAGCATCGTTCTTTCCGCAGTTATATGTAAAGAAAAATCGCTCCCTATACCTTAATGAGGAGGCTCGATTGGGAACGGTTTGAACGGTTTCTTCGAAGTTGAGAAACATAGGTGATTCTTTAGGACCACCTACTTCACCTGGAGAGGGTGCTTTCGCGAGGATGCTTGATGTGAGAGCACTTACCAGTAGAGGTACGGTTTTTCGCGTTCGATATTAACAGAGTTGATGGGGTCTAAGCGGAACCATGTGGTGAAGGTAAATCCATTCTCGTGCGGCCACTTTGCCAGCGGCGGCAAGACAACCGCCTGTGGGAGACACGAAATAATCCTCTTATTAAGCTGTCCCGAAATTAAAAATCGAAACGGTGACAAATAAGCACACTGCGGGAATAAATCAATCTTAACGATAGTTCTTGAGGATTAAGCAAGAAATTTAATTAATAACTTTTAATTTCGTTGTTTTTTATCAATATTTTGTTACCAACCCTCGCATGGCACGTATATCTGTTTTATATCTTAATCTGGCACACTAGAGCCATTTGCGCCCTTGTTTAAATTTTATAAAAGTATTAATCAGAATTTATGAAAAATTACGAAGATACTTTTAAGTCTGTAGAATAGAATTGTGTAAAGAAATGATCGTAAATTCTCTCACTTAAGTGTTTCACTTTACTGGGAATATAAAGAGAAACGTGATAAAAACATGAATTTACATAAAAATTTACAACTTTCTGAAAACGAATTTAAGAAATTAATATTTATGTATAAACACGGATTTTCTTGCCGATATACTCGAAGCTTAATTTTAAGATAAAGACTTTAAGACTTAATTTTAAGAAAAAAATATTATACATTTCAATTCATCAAAAAATATTATTTTGAGTATATAAAAATATATTATTTTTAGGTGGAAATAGATGTTTTTTGGGCGAATAAAGTTATCTCAATCAATCAATAATATTTTCATAACTCTGGATGAGTTTTGACCTGTTCTAAACATCTCCTCTATTCCGATCTATCCTTCGACTTAGCTTTTCAATTGCGGACTTCTAATTTTCTAAATCCTCCGCTACTTGATCTTTGAAACAGTTTCTCGCTTTTCCTCTTATCGGCATCCAATAGATCCGTTTTATTGCGATATTTATCCAATCTCTCCATATGCTTCGGCTATTTAAATTGGTCTATTTCTATTTTGTTCAGACAATGTCAGACTCTGAGTAAACCTGATGTAACTTGTGGTTATACCGTCTTCGCTATACAGAGTGTCTCAAATCATTCTTGGCTCCCGTGGTGTACAGGTGGAATGAATGAAACTGAGTAGAAACGTCAGTATCATTTTGCAAAACTCGCAATAGTCAGTGAAAAATGAATTATATTGTCTGAGCTAATGAACGCAGGGAAAGGATAGACCGGACACTGTATAAGGAAAAGTAGCTTACTTCTGAAGATTTCCTAGCAACGACGAGCATCAACTGATTCTTAAAGACGGAGTAGCGCAACAAGCAGCGAGCGGCATGTGACACAGGGCTGTTCGTTGAAAAGAAACACGCCTTTCGCTATCAATTGATATCTATTGTTGCTAGGAGATCTTCAGAAGTAAGCTGTTTTTCTTTACAAAGTGTCCGATCTACTCTTTCATTCGTTCTACTGGATATCTTTTCTGTCGCTTATTTGGGAGCCAAGGCATGTAAAATCTGTAATATTGTTAAAGTTACGTATATCTATTATGAAATTTTTGTAAAGGTTTTTGGACTGGGTCTTTTCTATCATGACTATGTCACAGTATAAGTAAGAACAGTAGGTTCACTCAGTGGCGGCATCTTTCATTTGGGTGCTGTACGATCGCTATATTAGTTGTGCGTGGGCTATAATTGAATGGCAATAAATGCCAACTAAAATAGATCTCTGTGACTATGTGTTCCAATATTCACTGTTAGTACTGAAAATCTATAGTATATGTCATATAAACTATAGATTTTCAATAGTATCAGTGAATATCAGAATGTACCTTTTATGTATAATAAGTCTAATTGTGAAATTATTTCAAAACCTGTCACGAGAAGAACTAATGAAACATCTAATATTGCTTTCAACAGAAATACAATTTTTATGACTCACACGGTACATAATAGTTGTTAAATGTAAACTGAATATACATAATGGAAATGTAAAATAATAATAACGTGGTAAAACATGAAAAAATTATATAAGGAAATATGTGGAGTCAAGATATTATTTTTACAACGAATTATAATATATAAAATATATAAAATATATAATTATAGTGTATAAAAATATATTATTTCGTCACTGCTGTAGAAAAACCTCTTACGTGTATTTTCCTAAGTACAACTTGGTCGCATTTCCGTTGCTCACACGGTTCGACATAGCTGTTAGCCGCCATATTCCTGGTTGTGCAGATCTGTCATACGCGAAAGACGATCATTAGCATAATTTCTCACTGAATCTACTGTTCTTACTTATTCTGTCTTATTATGACTATATATTTCGTTTTATTTGCACTTATTAGCAATCCTATATTTTTTGAAGTTTCTTAGTAGCGCTATCAAGCTTTCCTTTTAATTCCGGCGATTATGTTCATATTGTTTATGCATTTTTGTTAATAAATAAATAAACCTTTACCTTTAAATATTACCTTGCGTATTAGTTCCCAATTTATGCATAATACTCTCAAGTACTCGATTAAAGAAAAGTTACAACAAAGCATTTCCCTGACACAGTCCGGTTTGGGTAGTAAATGAGTGAGAAAAATTCGTTTGTATCTTTACCATATTTTCAACTCTCGATAGTGTCTATTTGACTATTTTGACCGGACGGACCGGTATGTCCGACTCAATTATTTATACAAATTATTTTTGTTCATGTTGTCATAAGTACTCTTAAAATTGATAAATAAATAATATGTTTCAATAGAAAATTCATACTTATTTTCAAGGATTTACCTAAGACAGACATTACAATAACATATAATATTTAGTCTATTGTGGATTTTTGCTTACTAAATCGATAAAATTGGTAGTTTCATATAACCCTTCTTCTCTACTTCGCATAAAATTATCTGACCATAGATTACGTAGAGGCTTGAATTTTATAGGGTATATGTATAGAATTATTTATAAAAAACTATTATTATTATACTTATATAAGTATAATATTTCTATAATTAGTATAACTTAGTCGATTTTCTTTTTTGTATATAGATATGATAAGCTCCATATTTCAGTCATCATGTATTTTTATCTGTTTCCACATAACAGTTATAAATTAATGTATATATTGCACTATTACTCCTAATTAATACTTCGACTCAGCTAATATTCCATTCATGCCTCGCGCTTTGTTATTCTTTAATTTTCTTTTATAGCTTCTTGTTTTTTTCATGGAGATTGATACTTTATTTTCTTCTCTATCATCCTCGCACTCTTCCTAGCTGTATAATTTTCTGTAATTAATTTAAACCTAATATTTCCCCAACTATAACGTTTTTATAGCGTAGAAAACAGAAGTCCTCATCTCACTAGTTTGTGACAAATTCAAAATTAAAATTCGGTTGAAATCGAATATAACCCCAGTGTGCCAGATTAGGGTTAAGCATCACAAATTCTTCTGGTCTTTAAGTACTAATTTATTCCTATACATGGACGAAACGTATATATATATATATATAAAGTGTATGTATTATTTTTATTTAAATCAGAGCATCTTTTATCCAACCCCGTCCCAGCTGATTTACGTTCTACAACGAAAGTCGCGTGTTGCTTGATCGCGTATGCGGTAACGATGTTTAGGAAAGTTCCTTACTGTGATTGATTTCGAAAATGCACGCGGATAGCGGAATCTTGCGGCAAGGCAAATTCTCTTATCGGAACTTTGATAGAGTTTAGAATTGAACGACGTCCTCTGGGATGTCGTGAAGCAAGAAATATTTGTTCGAAGGTATGGAGGCGAATGAAGAAAGGAAACCAACTTACCGACCCTTTTCTACCAGGGAAACTGAAAAATACATCGGGCCCGTTTCGCTGTGGCATTTGGCGGAGGACGTTTAGCAATTTCGCCGAATGCCGTGGCTGTGAAACATACACGAATGCCATCATATTAATAAGTAACAATATATTCTCACGACGAGATTCGACCTTGAATTTGCATAACGTGCGATTATCGGATGACTTTCGGACAATTCTTACCCATTTTCCCTTGACAGCTTTCATAGCGCCGAACAAAAGTTTCAACTCTTTCACTGTTATACTGTAGCTCGCCAGCACTCCCAGCATGTCGATCAACAAGTCTGCCGTATCAAGTATAATTTAGACATTATTAAATAGTGTAATTAATTATATGTAAAAAAAAGGGAAGAAATAGCAAGTTTACAATACGCAGAAGTCTGTCATACGAGAATTTCGCGGAACTGCGGTGAAAGATAAGGATCATTAAGAGCCTAAGCAGGGATTATTCAGTGTTCAATTGTTGTTACATACGTGACATTCCAAATGTTTCAGTTCTATTCGTACTCTTCTCACAGTGGATCAAAAAATTACATTAATATATATATATATATATATATATTATATTACATTAATAAAATATAATATATATATATTATATTATATTACATTTATATATATATATATATATATATATAAGTTATTTAATCGATTTTTTAAAGCCCAAACTATGTGTGTAGAACAAAGATCATTTGGAATCATATTCTAAAATACTCCCTGCGAACAATACAACAGCTGCTAAAAAATATCCTTCATATTTTGCAAAAAGTATGCATTTTTAACCGAATTAATGATGACAAACCACGGTGAAAGGTCATCCGAAGATGTTTTCATAAAGATGGAAACATTAGTCCTCCCGCCTGCCATCGTGACGATCATTAAAATAGATCATCATTCTCCCGCTATTTACAGATGCACGTAATGTGGCGCAGCGTAAGTGAATCGTAGGAAGCGAAAGCGATTGCAAGCAATAAGCATCTAACGAGCTGAGCACATCTGTGGGAAGAAAAACTAAGGAACGACGCGTGCGAGAGAAGTTATGTCAAGCAACTTAAATAAACTAAAATTATTTTTTAAGTCAAGTAACTTAAATAAGCTAAAATTATTTTTAAGATCGTGCACCAACGACAAGCAAGGGAAAAACTTAAATGTTGGTCAATATGTATCGTGTAAGAAGTGTAACAAACAAAAGTAAAGGGTGCTATGGCAAGTGTCATCGTGAATGGAAATAAACGAAACAAACAATGCGATCGTTCTTTCGGAAATTACAAAGGGATGTACGATTAACGACATTTATTAGATGTACAAATTAATTCGGTGCTCTTGTATTTAATATCCTGTAACTCTGGTTCAAATTGACAAATTTTCCCCGTCTTATATGGTGATTTGAAAGTGCCAACCTTAAGCTTTAAGAAGCACTATAATAGTTGACGGCCTTGCCGGTGTAACCTCAGAATACAGTAGTTATCACGATGTTGTTCGAAAAGAAGCATCTGAGGGCAATGCATCCTGTTTGCACTCCAGTTGAATAAAAATGCTGTTCAGTCTACCGGAATGATTTGTTCCGCTTTGGGTGAAGGTTCTGTGACTCATATAACTTGTAAACAAACTTTTTACCGGCAATAGAACTAGGCAGGTGGATTCTATCGCACGATATCGCGTGGCCACATATCACAAAAGGGACGAAGGATCTCATCTATACATTAGGCTAGGAAATTCTCCTTCATGCGGCTTATTTGCCAGATCTAGCCCGGTCAGGTTACCTATTTTGGTCGCTTCAATATCATCTGGCGGATACGCATTTTAGAAAACAATTAACGAGCTCTGGAAAAATATTGATAACTTTATCGAGTTAAAACCGTCAAACTTTTTGCGTGAGAGCACTCATCAGCTGTCCGATAGGATGGAGTAATGTCGTAGAAAATAATTTAAAATTATATCGAACACTGAATTTGCACCTGATTTTTTGTAAACAAACTTTGAATTTCATGAGAAAAAGAGCACCGAATTAATTTGTATATCTAATAATTTATTCGCTGAGTGATGTAATAAGGCGCCAAGATTTAGAAAGTGTCTAATCGATCTAGGATGATTCAATAATAGTTACTAACGAGTTTAGCCTCAGTTTGAAAGTTCAAGTTTCCTTGACGATTTTAGTGATCGTCACGATAGCAGGCGAGAGGATTAATGTTTCCATCTTTATGAAACCATCTTCGGACGATAATTTTTCAACCGTAGTTTGTTACCGTTAATTCGGTTAAAAGTGCATATTTTTTGCAAAATATGAAAAATGCTTGTTAGCTTGTTGCTCTGTTTGCTGAGAGTATTTTAGCATATGATTTCAAATGTTCTTTGCTCCACACATGCGCTTAAGAATCGGTTAAATAATTTTTACACAAATTAATGTAATTTTTTGATCTATTGTGAGATGAATCCGAAATAGGAACGAAACGTCTGAAATGTGACATATGTAACAACAATTGAGTAAATGACTTTGTGATTTAAATCGTTTTAACGGCACTAAATGATCCGTGCTTAGGCTCTTAACACGTTCGCTACCACGTCGCGAAGGAGAAACCTTCACCACAGGCCATACCTTATTTTTCGAATTTTTTCAAAATATACTGCAGATTTGTACTCACATATAATTAAAATTTCGTAATTCACTTAAAATTTCGTAACTCACATATAATTAAAATTTCATAAATTAGAATATAAATCTAGTTTTTCAATATGTCTTAAATATGACAAGGTAAATTTTAAAGAATTAACGAATAATATGAAATGTTACGTCCTGGGTATTCTAGAAACAATGAACTCCTTTTTTATATATATACATTTAGAAAGCAGATGGACTCCGGGGAAGAGCTATTGAAAAAAGGGATAAAGATTACGATGGGTCGCTGCCAAACGCGCCGTATATTTTCCAGCGTCCGTCACCCTAACCGCATTCCTTTTTTTTATGATCATAAAACAAACAAACTCGGGTAAGCGCTGCTGTAAAATGACACGTTCACATGCCGCCTAAATGCGTCAAGGGGCCTCCCAAGGCGTGTTCGCGAATACGGTCGTTGCGTTCTCTTCCAGGACGTAATAGAAATTCATAATGAAAAAATATAATTATATAATGTTTGTCTAATATAAATCTTTATTTTTATCTTTACATTATCTTTCTTTATTTTTTTGAGAAATTTATTCACTATTTTATGAAAGTTACATATTATATTGTAGTAATATATATTTTAGATTATTTACATGTCCGTTATCTATTTAACAATTGCAAAACTATATAGTAATATGAAATGCACACTGGGAGATAAGCTATTAATTCGTTTTAATTTCTAAATTTGTCAAAATATCGTAATATAATCTGAGATCACCTCTACTCATTAAACTTGTGACTGTCTTCAAGCATATTTGTCAGTAAGTTCAGAAAAGACTTCGTTAGTTTAAGAAATGAATAAGTGAAAATCAATTATCGTCACACATGTGTGACGCTGGGCTCTCGATGGAAATTCCGTGTGTCACATATATGTGATGCAGGTAGCGAACGTGTTAGTGACCTTCTCTCTTTGAATTTGATTGTATATTAAAGAGCCTTATTTATTAATATCTGTAGTGAATTATTTCCGCCTTGATTAATGATAGCATAGCGCCAAATTTAAATCAAATATTTACTTACCAGCGACAACAGTTTCCGCACGAGATAATCGATGCAGAACGTGTTCTATGAGACTCACATCCGTACATGCTTGTAAGTTTCTGACGCTTTTTCTCAGAATTGCAATAAAGACGCTCCATATTTCAGCCTGAAACAGAAATATCACTCGTGTTATACATTACTAAACGTGCCTTAAAATTTATTAAGATTATTGGATTAAAGAAAATAACGAGAAAAATGATAAATATGATCGAATTTCGCCTGAGCCGTGTAATTGATAATTCGAATGGAATTTCATTGCGCATAATTACGTTACGACCGTAAATCGCTCGCTAAAGTCGCGTAATAGGGAGATGATTGCGGAATATTGATTAAAAGCATACCGCGCTTATTATTATTCGTTTGTTTGCAGCGAAAATATTACTCTCGTCGAAAGCATCGGTTAATAACGGGAATTTCATTAGCATTCATTTTTTATTTTCTCCTTATTAGAAATCGCGCGCATTATTAACGCACTCCATTAAAAGCACCTTTTCCAACGTTGTCTGTTCTTTTAAACAATAATATAACAATTTCCCGATAATTTTTCTGTAACCTAATATAAAATAATGTTATTAAAAAAATATTCATTTTCATCCTTTTCGTGCGAATACAACGGCATAACTGAAGAAATCTCTCGCAACAGCGTCCTTCGACTCGATTAACCAAATTATCCGTACAGAGAGAGAGAGAGAGAGAGAGAGAGAGAGAGAGAGAGAGAGAGAGAAAATCCAGTAATGTCTTTGTTATAGATAGCGGCTTGCCAATTACGTCCAGGCAAAAACTATCTCGGAGGGGTTCTCCAAGTCAAGTGGAGTGGTTTTACGTCGAAACGAATAAAGGATGGCTTAATAAAACCGCGCGCTCACTCCGCGGAGAAGAAGTTAATGCTCCAAAGAGGTTTTTTGCCCGAGCAATCGCGAATAATTCACTCGGATATCCTGAGCAAACACAATACCAGACCCTCTCTGTGGAAGGTGTTATTTAATACGACCAGACAACCCGCCTTCGTCCGTGCATAAGGCGCACCGAGGGAGATGTGTAACTCCGTAACTCTAAGGCGCGGGCACGTCTGATAAAAAATCCACCGGCAACTATTTCAATATTCACAAGCGGCATCGTCCGCGGTAAGCGTGTTTATTTACGCGGGTCAACTTCCGACGGAACTCCCAATAGTTCATCCCCCGAATTATTATACCCTGGGATAGTCGGACAACCACGCGCACACAACCGATGCGAGAGGGGATCGGCCGGCCGGCGCCGAACGGCAGTTCATGTACCCGCGTAATCCCCTGCTGATATGCAAGGTAGGCCACGATGCGAGATAACTACGGGTGCGGGATAACCGCCGGATAGCGGAGAAATCCCGAAAATGCCGCTGGAATTCCCCCCCTCCCCCCCTCAGTCGGAATTTCGGCTCCGCGGGCCGGAGTTTTAGCGAGGAGAAGTTATGGGCATTTGGATAATTCCGGAGTAATGATCTCGCGGCTATACACCTTGTCGGCTTGCTACATCGGATTCGCGGACGAATTCGCTGAGCAGAAGAGAAAGAAAGGCGACGCAAGGAGAGACTGAGAGAGAGAAAGAGGGGGAGGAGAG